GGAAGGCGCAGGGCCACCCAGGCTCGGATCGCACCGCCGCTGGCCGGTGGGTGCCCGGCAAGGGACTTACTCTCTTCGACCGAGGTCGCCTTGCTGAGCTTCTCAGCGTCCAGGACAGAAAGCAGCTCCAGAACCTGCGTCTGCCGTGCCACCTCCTCCAGGAGGCACTCCCGGACCATCCTTGCCAAGCTAGAGGAGGCCAGTTTCTGGGGAGCAGCCCCCGATGCTCCAGGTTAGTGTGGATGTACCCTCGGGTCAGCTGTCCCTGGGGACCCCCCCTTGCCAAGGTCGCTGAGCGGATGGCACGCAGGCTGAGCAGCCGGGGCCACCTTTGCCTCTTCTGCCTGCCTGGGGGTGGAGTCAGTCCACACGCAAAGCAGAGCTGAGAGGGAGAGCGCTGACTGCAACGGCACTTGAATGCCTGGATCCAGCTGGGCCTGCAGCCCATCTCTGAGCCCTTTCAATACCAAGAGCCAATACGTGTTCCTTCTGGTTGAACAGGTGGCACCGGGGTTGTGGCACCTACCGAGGGGATAGCCACAGCCACCCTTGGCTCAGGGCTTGGGCTGCTGAGGCCCGCAGGGGGGTTCACCCCGACCTGCCCGTACCCCCACAGAAGCCCCTTCCATGTCCTTGGCTCTCATGGGAACTTGGCTTCCCAAGGGGCCCTTTGCAGAGAGGACTCCCCGTCCCCAGCCTGTTCCCGGGTCCCCTCACCCACCCCCACCCCCAGCCTGCCCCGTGCCCGGCCACCTGCAGCAGAGCCTTGCAGATGCAGAGGTGGGCCGTCAGCAGCACGTCCAGCTCGGGGGCGCCTGCCGTGAGCTCCCCAGAGGATGCTCTCAGGGGTGGCGGTGGGGGCGGGGTCCTGCCCTTCCTGAGACGAAAGGAGAACGGATGACCCTGGTGGTGGCGGCCCCTCGGCTCCCTGGGGTGGAGGAAGCCCACTCTGCCCTGGAGCTGCAGCCCCAGGGTTTCACCCAGGAAGGACCCGGGAGGGCTGGAGCAGAAGATGGCCCGGCCCACAACCGGGGCTGGGGGGCGCCGCCAGGCTGGGGCGGGCGGGGCCCAGCCGTTCCGGAGATCCCGTGAGAACCCGAGACTGAGCTCAGGCTGATCCCGGCTCCGTGGCTGGACGGCCGGCGTCCCTCAGCTGACTCCTCTGTAGAGTGGGCCCAGGAACCCACGCTCGGCCCGTGAGGTGAGTGAACATGGCCAGCAGGAGCACCCCACACCGAGCTCGCTGCCCGGCAGAGTTGGCCCTGGGCCTGCCCAGCTCCCGGCGGTTCAGGAAGGGCTGAGGTGACACCCGCGTATCCGCTGGAAAGGCCATGTCCCCCGGAGGGACAGAGAGACCACCAGGAGTCTCGACCCTGCCCTCCGCTGTGAGATTCGCCACCGGAGGCCTGCGGCTGGGGGACGGGGCAGGCGGGGCGGCATGGGCCCAGTGGCAGGATGGGGCGGGCACGGGGGCTGCTGCACCTGGGCTGGGTGCAGGGATGGCATGCCAGCTGTGCACGTGGTCGTGGTCTCATACTCCTGGCCTCACGCCTCGGCCTCCCAAAGTACTGGGCTTACAGCCTGGAACCACACACCTGGCCCGCGACTGTTACTTTTCAGATTTAAAAATAACAGAGCCCACTCCTTGGAGCAGAAAGCTCGGGACCAGGAAGGGGTGACCCCTCACTCCGCAGTTACAGGGCCTTCCTGGAGCCAGTGGGTGCAGGGATGGGGAGGCCCGAGGAATCCTGTGGCCCGTTGGGCCCAGGGCACTGGAGGCCACGGACCAGGAGGGAAGCAGGAAGCCGGCAGGGGGGCACTCACCGGGGACCCGGGGAGCCGCCACCCAGGGCTGGCAGGTCGGGGGCAAAGTCGGCCTTGAGAAGGGCAAAGCTCTCCAGGACGCACTCCATCAGGCTCTCGGCCGACGCGGACCCCCGCCGGGCTCCGCGGAGCTGTGGACGGAGCAGCCCAGCCTGAGCCCCACCGCCGACCCACCGCGGCCGGCCCCCTCCCGCACACCGTCCCTGGCCACCGTCCCTCAGTGTGGTGCCCCCAGGTCCCCCTCAAGTGGCCTGTGACAAGGGCTAAGTCTCCAGACAGGACGATGGGAGCAGAGACAGGTGCCTCCCCAAAGTGGAGCCGCTGTGGTCCCCAGGACTCCTGCTACGGGAACAAGCCAGCAGGGCCAGGCCGCCCTTTCTTTCTTTCTTTCTTCCTTCCTTTCTTCCTTCCTTTCTTTCTTTCTTTCTTTCTTTCTTTCTTCTTTCTTTCTTCTTTCTTTTTCTCTCTCTCTCTCGCCTCCCTTCCTCCCTCTCCCTCCCTCCCTCCCTCCCTCTCTCTCTCTCTCTCTTTCTCTCTTTCTCTCTTTCTTTCTTTCTTTCTTTGTGGGGCCTCACTTTTTTGCCCCGGCTAGAGTGCAGCGGACTACAGGCACATGCCTGGGTGTGCAGCAGAGGCCGGGATGGCCTGACCAGTGGCTGCAGCAGGCTTCCCGCCCCTCAGGGGGGCTACCTCCAATCCCTGTCTCTCCTTGCTTCCCCGGGGAAGAGAAACCCAGAATAGCAGGCTGACCGGACAGCTTCTGAGCTCCGAGAAGAGGTGTTTGCCTGACCTACACCATATTTTAAAAGTAATTTAAAAATCATCAGCCTGGGCAACGTAGCAAGACCCCCATCTCTACAAAAAAGAATGGTAAAAAATTAGCCAGACGTGGTGGCAGGCGCCTGTCGTCCGAACACTCTGGAGGCCGAGGCAGGAGGATCACTTGAGCCCACGAGTTCAAGGCCACAGGGAGCTATGGTCGCACAACTGTACCTCGCCTGGGCAACAGAGCAAGCCCTGCCTCTCAAAAGAAGAAAGAAAAGAGGAACAGAAAGTTGGGCCGGGGCTGGTGGCTCACACTGGGACCTCAGCACTTTGAGAAGGCCGAAGCAGGAGGACTGCCTGAGCCCAGGAGTTCGAAACCAGCCTGGGCAACATGGTGAGACCTCATCCCTGTTAACTTTTCAAAGATAAAATAACTTTTTTAAAGTGACATTCTTTCCCCCTGTGCCGAATTGTGACGTTGAGGGTGAGGGCGGGGAGGCAACAATTAAAACTAAATGTCTGAAGAGAGGTCTCACCTAGTTGCCCGCGTGTGTCTTACACAAGAGGATCGTTTCGTAATTGACGTGTCAGTAGGTGCTGGTGTTACACATTTCATTTTATGGGTATTTACTTTTCGAGACAGGGTCTTGCTGAGGCCAGGTTAGAGTGCCGGGTGCACTTATAGCTCGCTGCAGCCTCCAACTCCCGGCCTCAAGCGATCCTCCCGCCACAGCCTCCCAAAGTGCTGGAACGACAGGCATGCCACCGTGTCCGGCTGTATTTCATGTTCATTTAAATTTATGTAAACAATAAGGCAGAATAAAGTCATCTGCCCTGTCAGCATCGCTAGCAGCTGCTGGCCACCGAGGCCCTCCTGTGAATCGACCGCCGGCCTGAGCCCTGACCAGGAGACGGCTGGGGGCAGGGGGAGGTGTGGGTGAGGCAGGCTTGGGGTCTTCTGTGGAGCCAGCTCTGACCCGACAACACCCCACATTTGGTTCTTTCTTTCTTTTGTTTTTTTAAGCCAGAGACTCACGCTGTCACCCAGGCTGGAGGCCAGGGGGACAGGCACAGCTCATCGCAGCCTCGACCTCCTGGGCTCAGGCGGTCCTTCCGCCTCCGCCTCCCAAGTAGCTGGGACGACAGGTGTGCGCCATCATGCCCAGCTAATTTTTTGATGTTTTGTAGAGACGAAGTCTCTCTACGTTGCCCAGGCTGGTCTCGAACTCCTGGGCTCAAGCGATCCTCCTGCCTCGGCCTCCCAGAGTGCTGGGATCACAGGCATGAGCTGCCCTGCCCGGCCCTGAATTGAGTTCTTAACGTGAAGCAGCGGCCTTGCCTGCCCAGGTCAGAAAAGGTGAGACGGGCCAGGTCCTGGGGGGTCGCAGAGCACGTTCTCCCCCCACGAGCCCCAGCTTCCTCCTCGGACCCTCCCCCAGCCCGACGCGGGCATTGTCATTCTGCCTGTCAGATGGGGAAACTGAGGCCCTGCAGGGTGTTGCCCGCCAGGGGCCGCTGGGGGAGACCAGGCTGCCGACCCGGGCCTGTGAGCGTACCTTCAGCCGGCCGTGGAAGCCAAGGACCTGGTGCTCCAGCTCCCGGACCTGGGGTGGGGCGGGGTCCATGGACCCCAGCAGAGCCAGGACATCCTGCAGAGGCCCCTCCAAGCTCGACCCATCTGTGCCGTCCCCCGGGTCTCCCGCCTCCTGGCCTTCCCGGCCGCTCAGGGCGGTGCCGTTGGGCCCCGGGGAGCCCCGCTGCAGGCTGGGGCCCTCCACCCCCAAGTTTCTCCAGCCGGGCCGCTCCACAGCCAAGCCCCTCGCCGGGCGGGCCATGTCCGGCAGGAAGCCCAGGGGCAGGGGGTCCTCCCGGGCCTCCTCAGTGGAGGCACTGAGGCCGAGGGCCACGGGCAGGAAACCCACATGGGAGGTGGAGGCCGACGTGCTGGTCTCTGTGTCTCGGGGGTCCTCAGAGCTAAAGGAGTCCATCTCGGGCAGCTCCTGACTCTGGCTCCGCAGGCCGGGCCCCTGAAGCTCACTGGCGGACAGGTAGCTGAGGAGGGTGGGGGTCCTCGGCTCCGGCTGCAGGACGGACTGGAGAGGGGACGCAGAGCAGCCTCACCAGCCACCCGGGGCCACGCATGGCCCCACGGGGCCGATAGATGCCGCCCTGCAAGTCCTCCGGCTGACAGGTCCACAGAGGTGGCCAGCAGAGGCGCACACAGCCCCCCGTCACCCCTCTGCCCCACCCCTCCAACTTGTTGCTCTCCAGCCCTGGCAGCCCCCTGCTGCCGCCCATGTCCTCCAGGCTCGTCCTTACAACCCTGCCTCGGGGCCTTTGCACAGGCTGCTCTCTGCCCAGAATGTTCTTCTCCATACGCCTTCACCTCCTCAGGTCCTCACTCAGGCGTCACCTTCCCTGGGACCCTTCCCTGGACACCTGTTTGCTTTGTTTTGTTTTGAGTCGGGGTCTCATTCTGTCTCCTGGGCTCACTGTGTCACCAGTGGCCCAATCACGGCTCAACACAGCCTCAACCTCCTGGGCTCAGGGGAGCCTTCCACCTCAGCCTCTCGAGTAACTGGGACTACAGGCACGCGCCACCACGCCCGGCTAATTTTTTGATTTCCGTAGAGACCTGGTCTCGCCAAGTTGCCCCGACTGGTCTTGAACTCCTGGGCTCGGGCAGTCCCCTGGTCTCGGCCTCCCAAAGTGCTGGGATGACAGGCTTGAGCCACTGCGCCTGGCGATACCTCTTCTAAATGCCAACTCCAACCTGGCTCCGCCCTTCCTGCCGTTTTCCCGGGGCCCCTCGGGCAGGCTGCGCCATCCAGTTTTGATGTTGTCTGTCTCCCGCATAGAATGTCAGCTCCCTGGAGGAAGCACAGTCCTGGCCTGGCCTAGAGCAGGGCCTGGCATATAGTTTCGAATGCGCGAAGTGAACAAATGAACCTAGGGTGCGTGTGACCATAGAAACAGCATCCGCCGTGGCCAGCATCCACGCATGCCTGCCTGCCGCGGGGTCTCCCGTCATCCCCACTGGACCCGCCACGAGGGTGGCACGGCGCTAACTTGGGACAGGTCCTGGCCACACGGGTGGGGAGCGCGGTGCCGGGGTCCGAATCTGGGCACACGGACCCTTCGCCCCTCAGTCAGACCGAGGGCAGCGGTCAATGCTCACACGGCACCGTCTGTTTTTGTCGGGCATTTTAAAAGCATTTCCCAAAGATTCACTCACTCCCCTCACGACAGCCCCGAAGAGCAGTCCGGGTCTTCCTCTTTGTAGGATGCACACACGGAAGTCCGGAAAGGCTGAGTGATTGCCCAAGGCCTCACAGCAGATGAGAAGCAGAGGCAGAGCTTGAACCTGGGCCGTCTGGCCGCAGCGTCCGCGCGCGTGGCCACGGACAGGCGTGCTGGGCACCGCCACTCCCGACCGAGGGCCCCCCGACTCCTCCAGTCCCAGGCTCGTGGAGGCTGCCCTCCCCACCCACGGCCCGCAGTGCCACCCTCCCCCTGGGCAGGACAGGAAGTCCTTCTTCGGTCGCTGTTCCTGGAGCTCCCTATTGGGGGTGGGTCGGAGCCGCCCCCTCCACGTGCCAGTGTGCAGCCACACCACCGCGAGGACCCCGGGACCCTCACTGGGGCCCTGCTCTGGGGAGACACACTTATGGGGGACGGCGTGTGGACAAGGCTTCTTACTGCCTTGTCATAGGTAGTAGCGAAAAACCAAAACCTCCACGTGTTAAAGTACAAAGCAGCCGGTGTGGACGTCTATGCAGTGTACATACAGAGTGAGGAGGCTGTGCCAGGTGCAGTGGCTCATGCCTGGCATCCCAGCACTCTGAGAGGCCAAGGCAGGAGGCTTGCTTGAGCCCAGGAGGTCGAGACCAGCCTGGGCAACATAGTGAGACCTCGTCTCTACAAAAATATTTTTAAAATGACGCCAGGCATGGTGGCTCAAGCCTGTCATCCCAGCACTTTGGGAGGCCAAGGCGAGAGGAATGCCTGAGTCCAGGGGTTCAAGACCAGCCTGAGCAACTTGGCGAGATCTCATCTCTACAATAAATCAAAAAAAGGAATTAGCCGGGTGTGGTGGTGTGTACCTATGGTTCCAGGTTCTTGGAAGGCTGAGGCGGAAGGATTGCCTGAGCCCAGCAGGTCGAGGCTGTGGTGACTGTGAGTGTGCCACTGCACTCCAGCCTGGGTGACAGAGTGAGACTTCAAATAAAAATAAAAGTAAGAATAAAAAAATGAGCCATGATTGTGTGTGCCTGCAGTCCCAGCTACCTGGGAGGCTGAGACAGAAGGTTCACTTGAGCCTAGGCAGCTGAGACTGCAGTGAGCCAGGATTGTGCCACTGCACTCCAGCCTGGGTGACAGATGCGGCAAGACCCCACTCAAATGAAAGCTTTTAAGGCCACCGTGGAGTTGGCTTTGGAGGGGAGTATGAGTTTGCTCACAGATGGCCCAGAGCTTTTCCAGAAGAACGTGGAAGAAACTGACAGCAGAGCTGGCTCTCGGGGGGGGAGACCCCGACCCCGGGACATACGGGAGGGAGGCACTGCCCTCTCTGCCACGTCAAGCAGCCGCCCCCGGATCTCTGTGTTAAATGTAAAACCAGGGAAATGCAGCCAAGGCCGTGGCTGAGTGCCGGAACCCCCCAGAGGGCCCTGGGTGTCCAGAGGCCCCGCCGAGCCCGGAACTGGGCCAGGATGGAGGACTGGCAGCAGCAGCAGAAAAGGCCCAGAAGACGCCAGGGTCGGCCCAAGCGGCCGCCCCGGGCTCCTGCCCCAGCACCAGGCTCCGCCCGCCCACGCGCCCACCCGGCCACTCACCAGGTAGTATCGCTCCCGGAAGCTGGGGGTGCTGGGGGGCGTCCAGCTGCACAGGGGGCCCCTCCTGCTGCCCACGGAGAGCCTGCCTGTGGGGCTGGGCGACAGCAGGAGGCTCTCACTGTCCATCGGGCTGGAGGAGAGACCAGAGGCCAGCGTCACCCGTGCCCGGAGGCCGTGCTGGGCTCAGATGGGCGGCGGCTCAGCGGCTCCGGGGCGGTGGTCCTCATCTCAGCAATAAGAACTGGCTCTCCCAGGTGCATAAGGCGTGTGGGGGGTGACACGAGTCCTTCCTCCGCCCCCTGATGACCGTGGACAGGGAGGGAGCAAAGTGACCGGCCCAGGCCAGCATCAGGGCCGGCCGCGAGGACGGGGCCCAGTCACACGGGAGGTGGCTCAGCCCGGAGGCTTAAGGCCGCCAGAGCGTGACGCCCTTCAGACATCGCCGTGCAGGTAGACTTGTGAGGACATGGAGGTTGGGGCCAGGGCCAAGGTCAAGGTCACGGCACAGCCCAGGGACCGTCGGTCCCACATGCCAGCCCCCTTGGAAACCGTGCCCAGACGGCCACCACCCCAGGTCCTCCGCCATGGCCGGAGATCGGCCACCACACGCGTGAGCACCACCCCCTAGAGGCCCCGTGGGGAAGCTCCGAGACTGGTCGGGGACCCTCGCTGTTGCCCCTCCCGTGTCAGAGTCCTGTCGGTGAAGGGGGTGCCCTGAAAGAAGGATGTGGGTGGGGCATGCACGGCAGAGGCGGAGTCCAGCGCGAGCCCCGGCAGCCCTGCCTTAGAGGGTCTCCGAGACCCCCCGCCCCAGGAAGCCTCTCATCTGCACGGAGGCTCCGCTCACCCAGCCTGACCGCACAACCCCGCCGTGAGTGGAGTGGCCGCAGAAGCTTGCCCTGCCCGGGCTCCTGGGGCTGCCCCAGGAGCTGCCCACCACCTGGGGCTCCCGTCCAGAGTGGGCCCCGCCCCGCAGACAGTGAGAACCCAAGGCCGCAGGGGTGTCACCTGCTCCTCTGGGTCCTCTGACGACCCCTGGGCCAGTGCCCACTCTGGGAGGGAGAGAGCTGGCCGGAGCAGAGGAGGTGCCTCTCAGCTGGTCACTCCTGCAGCACCCGCCTGGGAATAGGAAGGGACCCCCGGGGACAGGCGGGGCCCATGTGGGACACAGAGCTCTGGAGAACCTGCGTTCATGGTCGTGGAGCTGCACGAAGCCCCCTTCCCCCAGTCAGGACTGTCTGCCGCAGGAACATAGGGCTCGTGGGTCTGCAGCCCAGAGGGGACTCGGGTGACCAAACAGTCCTGGGCCTGGGGGGCAGCCGGGATCAGCCAGGAGCGAGGAAGCAGGATGGGGCCTTGCTGGATACAGGCGAGCCTCCTTCTAGAAGCCATGCCAAGAGGCCCCTGGCAGGTGTCCTGTCCCCTGCCCAGCCCTGTCCCCTCCCTAGGGCTTTAATAGAAGTGAGAACAGAACCAGACGTGGTGGCTCACACCTGTCATCCCAGCACTTGGGGAGGTCAAAATAGGAGGATTGCCTGAGCTCAGGGGTTTGAGTCCAGCCTGGGTAACTTGGCGAGACCTCATCTCTACAGTAAATCAAAACAATAAGCCGGGCATGGTAGTGCGTGCCTGTCGTTCCAGCTACTTGGAAGGCTGACGTGGGAGGATCGCCTGAACCCAGCAGGTCGAGGCTGCCGTGGCCGGGAGCGTGCCACTGCACTCCAGCCTGGTTGGCAGGAAGACTCTGACTCAAAAAAAAAAAAAAAAAATTCAGAGAGGGCCAGGCACGGTGGCTCATACCTGTGATCCTAGGACTTTGGGAGGCCCAGGCAGGAGGACAGCTCGAGCCCAGGAGTTCAAGGTTGCAGTGAGCTGTGACTGCGCCACTGTCCTCCAGCCTGGGCGACACAGTGAGTCCTTGTCTCAAAGACAGACAGAAAACCTCCAAAGGGCTGCAGAGATGCCTGGGCCTCAGCCTGACTGAGGGTGGGAGTGAGACGGGCCAGGGCCAGGGGCAGGGACGCAGCGGGGGATGCCGTGGCGATGCCGGGCCGGGTGTGGCCGGCGCGGGGGGCGGCCCCACTCACCTCCACAGCACCTCCAGCTGCAGCTTGATGGTGCCCAGCTCGGTGATGTCCACCACCACCACCTGCGGCCGCGTGGTGAAGAAGTCGGCGATGTCGCACGTGACGGCGCCCACAACCAGCGAGCTCAGGCCCCGCAGCTCCGTCACCTGGGGGCAGGCGGAGGCTGGTGTCTGAGCCCGGCCCCCGGCGCCCGCCCGGCCCGGGATGCAGCCCACCTTGATGTCCAGGTCCTCGTGCAGGGCGGGGATGAACGCCTTCTCCTCCTC